AGCATGCCTCGGTCTAACTTAGGAAAGTAGAAAACAACTCCCCGTCACCGTCTGTAAATCAGCGTTTAAAGTCTAAGTCTCACCTGTGATGAGGTGACGTTTTTCTCTAGGACTCCCCTGACTGCTGCAGGAGGGAGCAATCTCCTCCAAGGCCCCACCAGGACCCCCAGGGCCTGAAGACTTAGCCCAGGGTGCAGCCCCTCACTCAGAACCCAGAGACTCACCACCTTCTCGAGCTTCGCGGCTCCTCAGACCCGCTGCCGCGGCCCTGTCTCCGCCCCAAACTGGGAGGCACCTGGTGGCTCCAAAGCAGGTCCCCTGACCCTGAGCATCTTCACTGAAACGGTCACTCACTGCAACTCCCACCAATGAGCCGAAGCACAAGTAGTAACAGTACTGGAACTGAGTCAAGTCTCGTGCCATCTTTAAAACATGACACGGGTTATGTGGTACAGTCAATCGATCCAAATGTGGGAACTCAAATGCTGATTAATCAACAGTATATTTGATGTGTGTGAAAGACAGAAGCAGCAAGGAAAGCTTTCACGAAAAAAAAAAACTTGTCATTTGAACAATTACCTTCAATTTACCCATTCTGCAAGTTCTGGCTTTTAATATCTTCGGTTCTTACACTTCTGTCATTGACATAAAGGAGAGGGAGGCAGTAAAAGAGCGTTCAGAGAAACGTTTTAAGACGGGAAATTTCTCCAGGAGACAAAACCATCTGTCCTGCCCCCCCGCCTCCGGGCTTCACTTCTGTGAGTCCTTAACGGTAACTTTTAATGCGAAGAGTGACTTGGACTCTGATGTCTTAAAAAGCCACCTCTCCTCCTTGTGGGGGAGGGCATATCACATTCCCAACAGATCGCTTCTTGAAGCAGTGACAGCATCAATATGCTCGGGGGTTCGCCAAAAAGAGTGCACACAAGCCACCCTTGGGTTCTCAGTCCGACACGTCACTCAGCCGGCAGACAGTGAGGTCAAGTGCAAAGCAGAAGGGAGCTGGGTGGTGCTGCTAAGTGCTGGAGAGAGGCAGCCTAAAGGGCAAAGCGCCCGGCTGTGCAGTTTCCGTGGTGTGAATACTCCCACCGTGACCGACTTCAAGCTGCCACCACGATGTCCCAGAACATGGAGGTGGGACAACAGACGCACCATCCAGTCTATAGGTGGAGGGTCCCCTTGTTTTTGAACTGCGGTCCTTGCCTGACCCCTCAGCACGGCTCTGGTCCAGCTCCTGTGCCCTGAGCAATACCTTCAGAATCCCGTTGCTGGGTCCAAAGCACCGTGACCGTATCACTTACAAACGTCACCTTCATTAGTAAAACAGAGGTGGTGATTTTCCCCACCTTCCTCACAACACTGTGTGCGATCTCGCAATGCTCTTCTGTACTAAGGACTGAATGTCCTAAAACAACGCATCTGCAATAAGCTGTGGAGCCTGTAAGTATCTTTTTGACTTGGTTTAGCCATTAAAACAGCATCAAGTAGAGACGAAGCAGCTGAATATGACTGACTGGACATGATGGTGGAAACTAGAGGATAACTATGAATTACCCAACCTCTGTGTTTGCTATTCATATTTATAATCCATTTCCATAAAAACATAAAATACAGAGTGCCTCTTGCAAGTATAAAGCAAGTAGTTTGAGTTTCCTGTTTTAAAAACGCAACACTAACAGCGTCAGAAAGATACCAGTAACCATCCCCGCCCTGACAAACAGCGTGGCCTTGGACAAACCACTTAACCTTGCTGAGGCTCTCTTTCTAAAATGGGAATCATAGTATCTATCTCAGAAGATTCTTATAAAGTGTAAATGAAAATACCTTCAAAGCCCTCGATTCTGATATACAATTAATGACCAACAGAAATGGCAGCCACTCATCATCGTTAACTCCAGAGTGACCGCCCTGTGACAAGCAATCCTTTTATCAGAGTGTCTAGGGTTTGGGCAGGAAAACCTCTGCATCAGAACACTGAGTGTCCGCATGGCTGGGAACAGTCTCTATGCGCCCGGACAGCCCATGTCTCTTGACCCGGTGTCACCACTGCTCAGGTTGACCCCGCCCGGGCTCCCCCTGCCCCGGCTGCCGTCTCTGAACCCCCGATGCTAACACATAACGCTTTGGAAAAAGGCAGGCTAGCAGCCCACCTCAACTGGAAACAGAAACTAAAACACATCATTTAAGAGTGTTGAAAGGTAACAGAAGAAAGTCAAGAGACAGAGTTTGTCTGTGTTGTGCTCACTAGTATTGCCTTTACTTGATAACCCAACAACCATAGTTAGATGTATAGATAGAGAAAGAAAATATAAATAACCTAGATAAATTAGTGGAATTATTTTAACAGTCCAGTAAAAGAATGAGTTACTATAATCAGGTATAACTTACAAACTCAGGGATGCTTAAACAAGAAATCTATACATGTAAGGGTAGTCGAGACAAAGAGTTTCTTAAACGGTCATCTCAATAAATGCCAAAATAGACCCTGGCTGGTGTTGGCTCAGTGGATTGAGTGCCAGCCTGCAAACTGCAGGGTTGCTGGTTTGATTCCCAGTCAGGGCACATGCCTGGATTGTGGGCCAGATCTCCAGTAGGGGGCAAGTGAGAGGCAACCACACACTGATGTTTCCCTCCCTTTCTCCCTCCCATCCCCTCTGTCTAAAGATAAATAAATAAAATCTTTTTAAGAATTGCCAAAATGGTATTCAACAATATTATGTATCCATTTATTAGACTTTAAAATTGTTTAAAGGTTAGGAATGAAGTAGTTCTTTACCAGGAAAAACAAACAGTAACTATTATATAAGGAAGAAGCATGTGCAGTACCTTCTGAAAACGTAACATGCTGGAGAGTGTTTCCCACGTCCACACTCACCCAAACTGCCCCCCCACCATGCAAAGGAGATGATTCCTATTCTGGGCAACGAGTCTCTTTTCTCAGCCATCTCAGGATGTGCCTGGCAAGTATTTGCTGAATACATTAAGAAATGCAGATGAAATGACTATATAATTAAAATACCCAAGGGAAGCAATAAAAAATATTTTCATCTGTCAAAAGTAAAGTTAGAGGGTTAATTTTTAAAAATCAAAAGTAAAAAGAGCAATGAGAAATTAGAAAATGTAATGGGGGGAAAATCCTATTCAAATCACAAGAGCAACAAAAAATAAATGTGAATACCCTCACCAGAAATGCACAGACACTATTGTAAAGACCATCACGAATTCTGCTAAAAAACACAGAGAAGATTTAAGCAGACGAAAGGATGGGGTGTGGTCCCAGGATTGGAAAAAAATTATAAGTATTTTAAAGATATCTACTGGGATTATATCCTAAGGACCCTAAAACACCAATCCAAAAGAACCTATACACCCCAATGTTCATAGCAGCACAATTTACAATAGCCAAGAGCTAGAAGCAACCTAGGTGCTCGTCAGTAAATGAATGGATCAAAAAACTATGGTACATTCACACAATGGAATTCTATGCAGCAGAAAGAAAGAAGGAGCTACTACTACCCTTTGCAACAGCACGGATGGAACTGGAAAGCATTATGCTGAGTGAAATAAGCCACACGGTAAAAGACAAATACCATATGATCTCACCTTTAACAGGAAGCTAAACAACAAAACAAACAAGCAAGCAAAATATAACCAAAGACACTGAAATACAGAATAGGGGGGCAGTGACCAGAGGGGAGAGGGGAGGGAATTTCAGGGGAAAAGGGGAAGGATTTACAGGAACAAGTATAAAGGACACATGGACAACAACTAAGGGGGGTGGAAATGGGAGGGAGGTGGGGAGCACTGGGGGAGGTGCGCTGGGATGGGAGTAAAAGACAGAAAACTGTACTTGAACAATAATTAAATTAAAAATTATATAAAAAATAAAAATAAAGATATCAGTTATTCTCTAATAAACCTAGAGATTTAAAATGGAATCTTCGTGTGGCAAATCTTCTTTGCCACACAAAGAAGAAAGAATCCCTGAGTAGAAGAGAGTCATGGCAGGAGGACAAGGCCCTGACAGATAGAGAGCAGAGCAAATCATAAACCCTTGAAAGTAAAACTGTGGTATTGGCACAATAAAAACAGAAAAAAATTTCAGAAATACACTGTGGTAGAAATGTAATAAAAGATAAAGGAGACTAGGAAAAAATGTTTCAGCATACATGAAACTTCATTTCAGATAAATAAAGCCCTGAAAAAGTACAAGGAAGAAAATAGTGGTAAGCATTTATCTTCTGTTAAATGTATTTTACGACCATGAAGAGTGAAACTTCTGTGCATTGAATAATGACATAAGCGGATGATAAATTGCCAGAAGGACAGGGGCTCTGCCCCAATCACTGCTGCATCTCTGGAGCTGTGAAAAGTGGCTGGTTCCAGCCAGTTCACAAGAGAAGAAATGTAGACACCAAACAAACAAAAAAAATTTCAACATCACCAGTTGCTAAGAAACAGAAACGAAAATAAAGTTCATTCACCTGCCACATCATCACTGTGTAGCGTTAAGGGGGGCAAGCACACAGCCCATGAAGAGTGGATGCAGATACGGATGTTAACATAGGTACAGACACACATACATACGGATGCATACAGATATTGGACAGATGTTGAACTGTTACTTTAAAAAAGTTCCCGAACACACACAGACACAGGAAGGAAGTATACCCAAGAGGTATTAGTGGTCACGTTGTCCTGTACAGTTATATGAATTAATTATAATAACATTATTTTCTAGACATAATTATGATACAATATTATTTTCTAGGTATATAAAATCTATATGCAAATCTATATGTAATCTATATTTAATTCCCTTTCATGTAATCAAAGGGATTAAAAGAACGATGAAGGACAAAGCACTTGGAGAGAGATACAGGCAGCTGCCCACAGTGAAGTGGTCGCAGAAACATTTCTGTGGCTACAACCCAGCTCCCAGGAACAAGGCAGCAGGGACACGAGAGGCCGCCCAGGTGGCAAACATCCTCACTCCTTACCTGCTTTGGAAGTCACCAGCTGTAGTACAAGAGGCCGCCTGGTTACGATGCCTGACCCTCGAGGGAGAAAGTCCCTAAAAAAAGAAGAAGAAATAGATTAAGGCATTAAAGAACTCTGATGACCTGTAAATTCACAAGTCAAGTTCCACAATAATTCTCCTAATTCCCAGCTTTTCGATGCTCTGCATGTCTAAAGCATGCTTATAAAGGAAGCATTTGCAAAAAGAAAAGTAAATAAAGGGGGCGGCATTGGCCAGTGCACATTAACTCGCGTGTTCTGTGCTCGTGACCTTGCTGGAGCACACTCACTCAGACAGCTGGAGTTAATAAAAGTTTGCATTAAATCACTGTATGCTGTCCATTAATTCCCACTGTCAGAGAATGAGCATTAACAAAAGCATCTGATGCGGAACTTAATCCTTAAATTCTTTTGGACAATTAAAAAAATGCAGTGCTCCACCCAACTTCTAGATCAATGTTAATCCATCAAACACAGACCATTACTAAAGGGATGCTAGATTGTATCTTCTAAACACCCTGAAATGTTTCTCCAATGAAGGTCACATACAAAATGTGGGATCAAGGGGAGATAAATATTGTGTATGCAGAAAGTAACAGCAAAAATAAATACACTGTAATGTGAGTTTGATTTGTTCTCAAGCCTGACAAATGGGAGTTTTTCATAAATAAGGACTGTGTTTAAATGGCATACATGCACCAGATAAGAGAACTGCGGTGAGGAAGGCATTACATAATCCCATCTGCAGTGCGGCATAAATCACACTGATTCTGCAGTGTCAAAGACGGCACCGACCTGCCTGTGACGCAATTGTTAAGACTGTTTGACCCATTCGGAATGCCTCACCACTCTGAGAAAAATCGTCCTTTTAAACATCACAGGATTCTATTCAAAATAAATCTCTGACTCCATGCTACTGTTTTCACCAAAAAAAAGTGGTTTCCAGACCACCAGAAGTGTTCTAACCATAGGTGCCCACCACCCATCCCGAACCGACAGCCGCAGAATGTCCGCAGAAGGTGGGCAGCCTCTGGACCCTTTCATAGGTTCAGGGGGCAGGAGGCGGGGCACTGCGGACCCTGCACTGAGGAAGATGATGAAGACCTGGACCCAGAAAACCACGAAAGACGGGGACAGATGAACTACACCGGAGTTCTGGAAACAGAGACCGGTATTCTCCTTTGGAAAATATCGGAATACATACAATTTAACAGTCTTTAAATGTTCTCCACGATCCATGTTAGAATATTTGCTAGATTGGATGGTTTCAATGATCATTTTAAACTGAATCAAAACCAACAGAGCATCTACTCTGTGCCTAGAGCCAAAAAAGAAATTAATTGGATAATCAAATGGATACAAAAAAAAAAAGAAAACAAAACTCCAAAATGAACAATTGGGGGCATCTGTTTTGAGCTATTAGGACCACGGATGAGGTTTCAGGATGTGTTCATGCCAACAAGAAATACACAGATCTTATGCCATTTAATGAATCAATAAAATATTTTCTTTTAAAAAAGGAAGGGGTGTATAGAAGAAGGGAGGGAGGGAGGGAGGGAGGGAGGGAGGAAGAAAAGAGGTTTAGTTACTCAATACCTTTGAGCCAGGACCTCTTTCATCCCGTGCTTATGACCATATATTTATAATCCCTTTGAACATCATTAAAGCAAAACAGAACATAACCAACATTGTCAATAGCAAATAACCACCAGGTGTTCGGCTGACGAGAAAACCCACGGATACCTCTAATTCTTTGTTTTTTATTAAGCACACAGGATTTTGCAGTAAGAGGAGTAAACAGACTCAGATATCCAGGCCCGTTCTTACTACTTCACAGTTACCGACCCCTCCATGGTTCTCATTAGTTCTCCCAAAGTCACCAGATTGGTAACCGAATCTTGCCGTGTGGAAGTCTCCCCGGACTTCACGGGACTATCCCAAGTGCAACAAAACACGGGAGACAGTCTCTCTCTCGTGAAGAGGGAGGGGCTCGTCTGGCCCCTGGAGAGAGATGCTGGTGGCCGGACCACCTGCAGGTGACCACACGCCCAACACCAGCCGGCTGTGAGCGGGGAGGGTGACCCCCCGAGGACACAGAGAGAGCTGGCGAGGTCTCCCGGCCCAGCCCTGAGGGGGCGGGATTCTCCTTCAACCTCCGTTTGTTTCTTTTGCTACTCAGCCAATCAAAGAAAATACAACATATGGCAAATTTTTAAAAACCCCACACATCATAGGGAAAAAAAGTAGTGCTATTACTATTATTATTGCTATAGTAGCCATAGTATGTTTTCCAAGACAGTGAAGCATTAGCTTGTCTAAAAAACTAAGTCTCTGCATCTGACATTTTAGCATTTCATGAATGGGGTTTGGAGGTGAGGGCACTCAGACCTCTGGTGTGGAAGGTCCCACCCTCATTCCCGCCCAGTCCACAGGGAGCCAAGGCCCAGCACAAACAGTCATGAATAATTCAGTCACCCCTGAGTGCCATCGACCGTCTGAATTGCATTATTTTCTGAGTAAAGGTGGTTGGTTTTCTCCCGTAAGTGCATATTATGGGAAAATGACTTTGCTGAATTACTGCAGAAAATCATGCCTGTGCCTTTAGTACGACTTTGGACTTAAACCACATATATTTTTTGCTTGTGGTCTAATACATATATACGAAAAGGAAATCTGCCTGCCATTTTCCTCCGATGAGGATCTTTCGGGTAAAGAGAGAGAACGGGAACCTGAAGGCCGACCGTTATTAAATGGGCTCCGGCCTGTCGCCCGAAGGCCTGATTCACGAGCGGATGCGCAGATGCTGAGGCAGGGTAGGTGCCTGTCTCTCTGGGCCACGTAGCAGCCACAGCTCGGCACTGCCCTTCTCGCTCCACGCACCTCAAAAACGGCATTCATCTGCACAGTCTTTTTTTTTTTAATTTTGGTGGGGCGGGGGGAAGGAGAGAGAAAGAAACATCAATTTGTTATCCCACTTATTCATTCGTTCACTGGTCGTTTCTTGTATGTGTCCTGACCAGGGATCGAACCCACAACCTTGACGTATTGGGATGATGCTCCAACCAACTGAGCTACCTGGCCAGGGCGATCTGCACAGTCTTAATAACTGATCTGCAGGCAATGCCAATGCTCCTTCATGGTTTCCTGACTCCTGCATGATAAAGAGAGAACAATTCTCAGGCTTTGGTCTAAGAACCATCTCGATGGTATACCCTCTTGACTCTTCCGGAAACATAGTTACCAAGATATATCATTACTGCTCCACTAGGAAATGACTGACCTTTGGGAGCCTAAAATCCGGGGGCACGTTGGCTGAAGCAACAACACTAAAAGGAATCTCCCCTCTCCCGCAAAGAAGGCAACTACCAAGGCATTTCTTCGATATAGATATAAATGATCATTAACCAGATAATCTGTTCAAGAAATAAACATTTAACATCTGCCCTTGCCTAACACAAGAGGGAGAAATCATACTCTCTAAGAAGTTAATCCGTGTAGCTGAGTCATTCCGAGACAGACAAACTTTGTCTAGGAGGAAAATGACATGCAAATGATTAGAGCGAAGGGGACAGGTCCGCGGACTAAGTTCCTGAGGCAGTGACCCAGGACGGAGTAAGCTCTTCTGCTTGGGGACGAGCGCGAGAGAGACCACCTCAGTGAGACACAGGCAGGAGACATCCCCCGGGGGATCCGGATGTGCTAACGTGGAGTGTGAAGGAACCCAAGACCACTGAGGGGAGGAAGGCGGTGGGGCAGAGTCTGGAGAAGGGAGAGGAGGCCTTCGCTTGGGTTCCGTTTTGCTTTATTTTTTCTGTGGGAACAAGAAGGCACTGATGGGTTTTAAGTGATCAGATTTGCATTTTAGAAAAATCACTGGGGGATGATATAAAGAATGTCACACACAAAAAAGGGAAAGACAAAAAAACAGATGAATCAGGGTCACTGAGGAAGAAGAGAAGGTTAGGTCCAAGGCAGTCCCAGTGGAAATGGAGAAGACAGAGAGAATAGACAACTGACGGGACTTCCTGAGCCCCTGATGTGGGATGAAATGACGTGGCGGGGATGGGATCGGTCTCACATTTCTGGTGTGGGTAGCTGGTTAAACTCAGGGTGCCATCAGCCAGAACAGGAAGTGCAGGGAGACCCGATTATAGCTGATACTTATATGGTGTTTACCACCAGTCAGGCACATTCTTAGTTGATCCTCATAAAAACACCCCGAGGTTGGGGCTACTGTGATGCTCACTTTGCAGATGAGAAAACAGGCACAGGAAGGTCACGTAAGTTTCTCAAGGTCACAAAGCTAGTAAGTGACAGATCCAGGGCTCAAACCTGGAGAGGCAACTCTAGCATTTGTGCCCTTGACCATTAGATTATACTACATAGTAAAAGAAATTGGGGGAGAGGATGAGGGAATATATTTGGATGCGCTGATCTTTAGGTGTCTGGTGAGTATCCGGATGAAGACAAGCACACAGTGAGACCGAGCAGCTGGAACTCAGGAGAGCAGTCCTGTCTGGAGATCTAGCTGACAGCCATCAACGCAGCAGAAAGTTCAAGTTGACAGTCATCAGTGCAGCAGAAAGTTGAGGCCGAGAGAAGAGCAGGAACAGGGAGGAGGGGGGTGATGGGTATGACTCTAAAGATGCCAACACAACACCAATGCTGGGAAAGCAGACCTGAGAGACTGGGGAGTGGCCCCCAGGGAGATAAGCCAAGCAGAGAAGTCGGAGGCATCCCCTCGGTCACGCCGGCCTCTCAGACCCCATCTCTACATTCGACTCCTTATCTCTATCCAACAACTTTCTCCTGCCTCATTCTCCATCGTAACCCACATCCTCAGCATCCGTACATGTCGGCCGAGCCCCTGGGGCTCATCCACCCTCCACCTCCCTCTGTCTGCAGGCTCCAAATTAGCTACCAAGTCCTGCTGATTCTCCCTTCTTAACATCTCCTAAAAGCATCCTCCCTTCTCTACTTCAATCACTACTCCCAGTACCAACAACTCTCCCATAGATTAACAACAGCCCTGGCTGGTATGGCTCAGTGGATTGA